TAAATATTGCATTTTTCTGTATATTCTAATGCATAAAACGGTGACGCGTTCACTTATATTGTCACTAATCGCTATAGTATACATTATAACACATTTCTTCCAAACGTTTATGAACAAACCCAATAAAATAAAATATACGTGTCACATGTGAATTGTGCGAACCATTTAAACAAGTGTTCAATTCTATTCCTTCTACATCAACTATACATTAGTTTTTTTTTTTTTGCAAATGATTTAAAGTTTTATTTTCTTATTTCTCAAATTATAATTAGCTATACATAATCATAAAAAGATAACAAAACTATAGGATACTCAATACACTACAGCATTGTTAGAACTTAAAAGGTGTTTAAGATTTGTCGACGTGGAAGAATTTTGTGTTGTTAAGTAAAAAAGTGTGACTTAATTGTTTAATGTCGTTGGGGAAGATTAGAAATTTTTGGTTTTCGAATATTGAGTCAAAATTCATGTCATAACAACTAAATGTCCCCTCTCTTTTTGTCAACCAACTACATGTCCTTTCTAACATTTTTTATTGCATGAATGATAGTTGTGTACTTAGTAAATTCTTCAAAAATAAAAATATAATAAAGTGATACAAGAAATAGTTATCATATATTCTTGGCACATTAAACATACTAATTAGATACTCATGGCGCTTGATTCTACTATTAGAATGCTTTTCTGATAAATTACAAATTTTATTTCAAAATTTTAGTTATATTTTTTACAAATTATCTTATAGACAAAAAAAAAAAATACCAACTAGACAAACAATTACTCTTATGTTTTAGTTCTTGCGTCAAAGTAAGGTAAGAAAAGATTATGAAACTTAGACATTAAATTATTTTGATCCAGGGTGTAATCTTCTTAGGAAAATTGTTTGTTATATTTACATGCATTTTTTACTTATAGGGTTTTTTTCCATGTCATGTGATATTATGTTTGCCTTGAGTCTTTGTATTGGAGTTAATGTATATATATGTATTATAAGATGTTGCAACCGTATAATGTTACTCTTGATCTGTTTTTCTTAGGTTTCTTTAATGTTGCTCAATCTAATGTGTACATAAGTTTACTGACTTTACTCGAAATGAGTAATTACAAATATCTAGAATCTATATTATTTATAAGGGACCAGAAATACCTTGCTTATGTATCATTAGGAAATGCATGACCATAAATGCATTACCATAAATACAGCCGTAAGAAGAGGTAATACAAAAGTGTGTAAACTATAAAAACGAGTCAAAGTGGATTGTCCAACACTAGCACTTCCGCGTAATAATTCTACAAGAGGGGATCCTATTACCGRAATAGCGTCAGGTACACCTGTTACAATTTTGACTCTTCCAATTGAGAAGATCCATCGAGCTAAGACGAAGAGAAAGATCTATCAATTTTAGACAGTTATTCAATTGATTCATTATTGGAACAGATAGCAACAATAATTTAATCCGACATGCGTATTTCCAATGGATTTCTATCTTTCATTAACGAAAATTTTTTTGATGTAGTGAGTAATAGCTCTGGTTGTTCGCATTTCTCTTCTTTTTTTTCCCCTTTTTTGTGTCAACTACACTACATGCACTCAATTCAATCGGATTTAAATTTGGAGAAAGACACAATGACAACAACATTTGTACAAACGATTAGGCTAAATATTCTAAGCTATCGTCATTTTTATATACATTATGAAGAAAGAAATGGTATCGATGCAAACCAAAATGGTATATTCATTTGATTTTGATTTTTGGGGAAAATAAAAGAATTATACCAAATTCACTCGTGGACATATCCATACGTGACTTGTTTTTGGTAAGAGATGGACACTACTAAATGTAAATTCGGGTGCATTTTTTCCCTTTGAGTCAAATTTCTTATAATTCCTCTGATTCAATATATGAAAATCACATTCTCACCCTATGATGCTATCATCATATATACCTCAAATTACACGTATTTGGTGTCATTATAGAATGATACCGTGGACCACTAAAAAGAAAAGAAAAGAATGATACCGTGGACCACTAAAAAGTCTAATAATCGTCTAACGGCCAACGCCAACAACCTCGTGATTTAAGTTGATATATAGTGTTTATTGGGACTTTTCAAGCCCATGTCCAACTCCCTCATTAGTATGATATTGTCCGCTATTGGTCCAGAGGCAAAGTCCGCACGGATTTGTTCTTGGGCTCCTTCCCAAAAAGCCTCATACTAATTGGAGTTGGACATTACTTATATACTAGACAATTCTTGTCTAAACTTTGGATGTGGGACTTGGATTGATATCCCAACAATCTCCCCCTCAAACCAATTACCACATAAACTCGTGGCCTTCTACCTCCAGCGAAACCTAGTACCCTTTTTGTACCGCTTGTACTCTTGGCATCCTTATTCGCGAGGTCACCTTTTAGGGCTTTTCTCCCACAACGAACATGTCCAACCCACTTCTCCAGATCCACTTTTCTGAACTCTGGCTCTGATACCAATTATTGGGGCTTTTAAAACTCATGTCCAACTCACTTCTCCAGGTCCATTTCTCTTAACCTTGGCTCTGATGCCATTTATTGGGGTTTTTCAAGCCTATGTCCAACTCTTTTATTAGTATGATATTGTCCGCTTTGGGCCAGAGGCAAAGCCCGCACGGATTTGTTCTTAGGCTCCTTCCCAAAAGGCCTCATCCTAATTGGAGTTGGACATTACTTATATACTAGACAATTATTGTCTAAATTTTGGATGTGGGACTTTGATTGATATCCCAACAATCTCCCCCTCAAACCAAATACCACATAAACTCGTGGTCTTCTACCTCCAGCGAAACCTGGTACCCATCTTGTACCGCTTGTACTCTTGGCACCCTTATTCGCGAGGTCACCTTTTTTGAGGGCTTACCTCCCACAACGAACATGTCCAACCCACTTCTCCAGGTCCATTTCTCTTAACCTTGGCTCTGATACCATTTATTGGGGCTTTTCAAGCCCATGTCCAACTCCCCCATTAGTATGATATTGTCCGCTATTGGCCCAGAGGCAAAGCCCGCACGGATTTGTTCTTGGGCTCCTAAGGCCTCATACTAATTGGAGTTGGACATTACTTATATACTAGACAATTCTTGTCTAAACTTTGGATGTGGGACTTGGATTAATATCCCAACAGTGTTGACTCTATAGATGTTATTTACTAGCTAACTAGCTAGAGCTCTGGTTCGTGTGTGGTTGTACCATTTTATGGTTTAGTCAAGAGTCAAGACTACTCTGGCACTAATTGCCTAATTGGTAACACTATTAGTCAAGAGTCAAGACTAATTATTCATTAATTGGTTGTTCATCTTCCTAGTGGTTGTATTTTACCCAAAACAAAGCATTAGGCAGATTTAACTACAAAACCTAGACCTACCTCTACTAATGTAAATAAATTAATTATACTTATATTTTAATGAAAGAACATAAAATATTGCATCTTTCTGTATAATACTAATGCT